CTTCCCTTGGCTGAAAAAGAAAGACTGCTGATCCAGAAAACGTCTAGGCTGTGCCTGCAGAGTATAGAAACCTCAAAAGGTGACTGAAGTTCTGAGGAAGCTATTTTTAAATGGCTTCCTGCTGTGAGACAAGCTTTATGGGAAGGTTTATTTCAGGCCCATTGTAGCTTTCCACCTGCCCTCCTGTGTTCATTTTGGTATTTATCTCCATCTGCTGGTACAATGTGAAAGAGACTCCTTCCACACAGATGCACACAGTGTTGGTAACCCTTGTGTTGGAGCACCATGCAGAGGCTCAGGCCAGAACTGAGATCTGGGAGGAGGAAGAGGAAGTTTCTGGAACAGAAGAGAAATGGGACTTCTGATTAAACAAGGGGGAATGTTATTTTTAGTCTCAGCATGAGCTGTTCGGTTGTTCCTCCTCCTCAGGTCAGCTTCTCTTTAAAGTGAACTTCTGGTACTGGAACAGTTGAGACCTGGAGAATGGTAACAATTCATCCAGCACCTAGGGCTTAAAACATCCATTCATTATTTAAGTTGCTCAGGAATCAGCAATTTTCAGCAGGGCAGCTTGTCTCTCTGCTCCACACAGCATCAGCTGAGGCAGTCTGAAGTCTAGAAGGAGCCACTCAATGGCTGGGGCTGGAATCATCTGAAGGCTTCCTCACTCACTCATGTAGTGGTTGACGTTGGCCATGGCTGGGATCTCCGTTAAGGCTGTTGGCTGAACACCTATACGTAGCCTCTCCATGCGACTGCTTGGCTTCTGAGCATGATAACTGGGTTCCAAGAGGGAACCACCCTGGAGACTGGGCAGAAGTTGTGCCACATTTTATGACCTTACCTTGGAAGTCACTTAGCATCACTAACAACTTGTCCCAGGACTGCCTGGATTCACAGCAAAGGAACACAGACCCCTACCCTTAGTGACAGGAGTGTCAACATCATATTCTAAGAAGAGCATTTGGGATGGGAGACCTTGCTGTGGCCAGCTTGAAAATAATTTGCTACAGAGAGGAACTGGCAGAGGAATAGAGGGATGGGCTTGTTGTTCGGGAATTAAGGAAGAAGAAAGAGCTGTATTTATAGATACAACTTTCAAAAATTGGAATAATGGAGGTGGGGAAGTGAAGAAATAGTGTAACAGAAAACAGAAAAATAATTTTCTTTAAAAAATATTTCATTTATTTGGGATACACCGTAAAATGAAGAATGCAAACTATTTCTACACCAGAGAATAAAGTCTTACTTAGAAAGGCTTTCCTTACTTTAACATTATTCATCCATGATTTCTTGTCTTTCTAGTATTTTTATGGTTTAATTCTTATACATCTGGAAATTATTTTAATTAAAGGATGGAGGTGGGGGTTCAGATTTTTTCCGGAGTGATAACTAGATGGAACATCTCTATTTCTTGAATAGTCATCTTTTCCTCAGTGATTTGAAACTCCACTTTATCAAATACTGTTGTTGTTGTTGTTAGGTACCATCAAGTCGGTTCCAACTCAGAGCGACCCTATGTACAACAGAACAAAACACTGCCCGGTCCTGCGCCATCCTCACAATTGTTATGCTTGAGCCCACTGTTGCAGCCACTATGTCAATCCATCTCGTTGAGGGTCTTCCTCTTTTTCACTGACCTTCTACTTTACCAAGCATGATGTCCTTCTCCAGGGACTGGTCCCTCTCGATAATATGTCCAAAGTATGTGAGACAAAGTCTCGCCATCCTTGCCTAATCAAGACAGATTTGTTCATTCTTCTGGCAGTCCATGGTATATTCAATATTCTTCACCAACACCATAATTCAAAGGCATCAATTCTTCCTCAGTCTTCCTTATTCATTGTCCAGCTTTCATATGCGTATGAGGCAACTGAAAACACCATGGCTTGGGTCGGGTGCACCTTAGTCTTCAACGTGACATCTTTGCTTTTTAACACTTTAAAGAGGTTTTTTTTGCAGATTTGCTCAATGCAATGCGTCTTTTGTTTTCCTGACTGCTGCTTCGTGGGTGTTGATTGTGGATCCAAGTAAAATGAAATCCTTTACAACTTCAATCTTTTTTCTCCGTTTATCATCACGTTGCTTATCGGTCCAGTTGTGAGAATTTTTGTTTTCTTTATGTTGAGGTATAATCCATACAGAAGGCTGTGGTCTTTAATCTTCATCAGTAAATGCTTCAAGTCCTCTTCACTTTCAGCAAGCAAGGTTGTGTCATCTGCTTACTGCAGGCTGTTAATGAGTCTTCCTCCAATCCTGAAGCCCTGTTCTTCATACAGTCCAGCTTCTTGGACTATTTGCTCGCATACCGATTATATAAGTGTAGTGAAAGGATACAACCCTGACGCATATCTTTCCTGCCTTTAAACCAACCATGCAGTATCTCCTTGTTCTGTTCAAATGACTGCCTGTTGATCTATGTACAGGTTCCTCATGAGCACAATTAAGTGCTCTGGAATTCCCATTCTTTGAAATGTTATCCATAATTATTATCATCCACACAGTCGAATGCCTTTGCATAGTCAATAAAACACAGGTAAATATCTTTCTGGTATTCTCTGCTTTCAGCCAGGATCCATCTCACATCAGCAATGATATCCTTCATTCCACGTCCTCATCTGAATCTGGCTTGAATTTCTGGCAGTTGTACAGCTACAGCCACTTTTGAATGATCTTCAGCAAAATTTTACTTATGTGTGATATTAATGATATTGTTCAATAATTTCTGCATTCTGTTGGATCACCTTTCTTTGGAATAGGCATAAATATGGATCTCCTCCAGTTGATTGCCCAGGTAACTGTCTTCCAAATTTCTTGGCGTACACGAGTGAGCACTTCCAGTACTGCATCCATTTGTTGAAACATTTCAATTGGTATTCCATCAATTCCTGGGGCCTTGTATTTTGCCCATGCCTTCAGTGCAGCTTGGACCTCTTTCTTCAGTACCATCGGTTTTATGCTATCTCCTGAAATGGTTGAACGTCGACCAATTCTTTTTGGTATAGTGACTCTGTGTATTCATCTTCTTTTGATGCTTCCAGTGTTGTTTAAAATTTTCTGCGTACAATCTTTCAGTATTGCAGCTTGAGGCTTGAATTTTTTCTTTAGTTCTTTCAGCTTGAGAAATGTTGACTGTGTTCTTCCCTTTTGGTTTTCTAACTCCAGGTCTTTGCACATGTCATTATAATACTTTACTTTGTCTTCTCTAGCCGCCCTTTGAAATCTTCTGTTGAGTTCTTTTACATCTCTTTTAGTCATCAAATACTAAATTCCTACATATCTTGGGGTCTAGTTCTGGACTCAATTATTTTTACCTACCTTCTTATCTTACCATGATAATAACCCAACTCGAGTTTTGGAGCCAGACAGACCAACTCAGAAACTCCTTAACCTTAGCCTACTTGAACTCTCTTTTAGTTTCATTCCCTGTCAACTGGGGACAGTAATGCTACAAATCTTCTTGGGTTATTTTCAAGATTAAATGACTTGATGTTTTGCACAAAATTGCTTAGCATAGTTGGCAGTGCCTATGCAGGCTGGGTTCTCTGGGAAGTAGACTTGGAGAGGGAAATCAGCGTGCACGATGATTGCGTGGGAGCGCCCTTGGGATTGACATCTGTGGAAGGGAAGGGCCAGCAGCAGGGCGGGGCAGAGGGAGAAGTTGTAACACAGACCCAAACAGCAGCCTCAGCTGAACTCGTGGGGAGCTCTGGAACTCAAATAGCCCTTCAGAGTTGTCCCTTGTTGGACAACTTTATACACCCACATGGATTAGTCCTTGCAGACAGGCCACCGTTGAAATGGGCGTGACCTGGGATGAAGTGGCTGTCTGCAGCTGAGGCAATCCTTGAAGGAGCAGATAGCCAGAGGCTGTTTGCAGAGTGTGAACTCCCAGTGGCTGGGCCAATGAGTCCTTTGTTACACAGGCATCTTGGTTGCCCGTTACATGTCCACCACAGCACCTCATTCAAATACTTTTTTTTCCCTCTTCATTATTCCCAACTCTTTGAGTAAAGAGCAGTTCAGCAAGGCTTCAGGCTGGAAAGCTCCTTGTCCTGCTGTATGCTGAAGTTTCAATACTTCATGTATCATGGCAGCACTGAGAACATGGTGAGGAGGTGAAGTTTAGTGAGCGATGGAGGAAGGCAAGGCTAGATAGCCTCAATGAGATGAGCTTGCCAAGGATCTGACAATCTGAAAGCTTTCATCATAGGCTAAAATACTTTTTTTTTTTTTTCCATTTCTGGATCAAAAACTTGACTGTAAAGGAGAATGTGAGTGTGACTGATAACCAGGTGATGGGATGATCCCTGTGATTATAAGGAATCGTCTTAGAAAAGTACTGGCAGAGATCAAACAAGGTGAGGTCATCTGTTTGCTTTTCCTTTTATTATAAAAGTAAAATAAAAAATAAATCCAACATTTGTCCTTAAAGTATTTGATCTAAAAAACATATTTACAATAGCAAAATGCAGAAAAAGGGGAAATAACCATTTTCAGCACTGATTGTCACCATGTTTAAATATTGACACGTACATGTTTGTTTTTTCAAATCACAGAGATAAAACCACATTCAAAAAAGCAATAAGCCTTTTCTCTTTATTGTACACTGAATGACTTTCATTTAAAAATACCCCTTTTCTTAATCCTTAATCTGAATGCACGACTGTGCTGTGGACGGCTAGAAAAAACATCAGGTGGGGACTCCGACACCTTTTAAAGATAGTGGGGACACAGCAGAAGGACAGCAGCAACGACGACAGAAAGCAACTGTAATCCATTAGCAGCCGGTAAAGCTCAAAAAGCTACCTCACCCCCAAGGATGCTTCAGCCCAGCCGAGTGCTGTGATTGCTAGAGACTACCAGTAAGTGAACCGAACTAAAAGTCAATGTAAGAACCAGGAAAGGAAGCCAGTTTAAGAGGCCTGGGATTAAATCCACAGTGATTCAGGCAGGCTGGTTTTCCTCTGAGCACCTTTGGATGTACTTTATCTTCCTTCTTTTGGACAATGTGGTGGAATTTCAGGGCTTCAGTTTTGCAGTGTTGAAAATCACCAGCAGGTTAAACATTGCCTTCTATAGATCCGTGCTGCCCATAATCGTGGGGCATTTTGTTCAGAGTTAGCAATGAGCCGCTGCTGGTCAGAGACTCTGTGAAGCTGAGTTTGCGGAAGGAGGTCTCCACGCCGCTGTCACAGATGCTTTCGTTATCTCGGAGCTCATCTGAGGGGAAAAAGCACGGATTCACTGGGGGCACAGCTGGGAGCAAGGCAAAGGCGTTGCACTCACACACCTTACATTCCAGTTGGGCTCAAATTTGGATCTAAAAGGCATATGTGGATTACATTTTCCCCTTATCTTCCACAAATCACTACAACCCACCTATGCAGCTTCCTGCTCATGCCTACTGTTCACATGGTGGGAAAAGCAGAAATATAAATATAATTATTATATTAATATAAATTTATAATATTAATATGAAATTATATTAATATAAAAACTGTGGCAACATCAGGATTAGCCACGTTTTCATATCTTCTCTTGCAATCTAGCTGTAGTGAGTTGAACAGTGTTCCCTCAAATTCATGTCCACCCAGAGGCTCAGAATGTGATCTTATTGGGAAATAGGGTCTTTGAGATGTAATTATTCAAGATGAGGGCATAACAGATTAGAGTGGGCCTTAAACCCAGTAAGACTGGGTCCTTATAAGAAGAAGAGATTTGGATATAGAGACACAGCACATACAGAGGGAAGAAGGCATGTGAAGACGGAAATTGGAATGATGCCATTTCAAGCAAAGGAACACCAAGAATTGCTGGCAATCTCTAGACGCTAAGAAGAGGCAAGCAAGGATTCTTCCCCTTGAGCCTTTGAGGGAGCATGGCCCTGCTGACACCTTGATTTTGGACTTCTGACCTCTAGAACTTAGAAGAGAGAACTTAGGGAAAGAGTAAATGTCTGTTGTTTTAAGCTACCCAGCTTGTGGGACTCTGTTTTGGCAGCCCTAGGAAACGAATGCAGATTTAGCTGTATGTTTATCAGAATCCTTCCTGAATTCTTGATTCAAAGCACACCCTTTTTTTTTTTTCTTAGAAATTAGGTGTATTTTTCCGACCACCGTATTACCCACTTTATAGCTGGGGAAATTGCTGACCCTAGGCAAAGTAAATCTGTGACAGAAATAGGAACTAAAAACGAGATATCTCTCTAGGCCCCATATGCTATTAAACTCTATACACTGTCTCAAAAATATTTTGGTAGCAAAAAAATAAGGTGATTTAGATGAAACTGAGTCTATACTGGAAAATCAGGTCAAATTCCCCTTGTTGAGAGAAGTATCATTAGGGTTCTGAACAATATGAATGATTTCCCACACTGAAAGAGTAGCCAATGAAACAGAAATTTAATATACACAAATAAGAATGCTATTTTCTTACATATTAAATTCTAATATTAAAATATTAAGACTTTAATGTCAGCAGCATGGCTACTGTCTTGTTATTCATTGATGTATTCAATCCACCAGTCTTTATTCAGTATCTATTATGTGCTAGGAACTGTGAGGTATTTTGAAAATAACTACAAATTAAGGACTTAGTGCTTTCTGAGATATAAGTATTTACTTACTTCCTTGGGTATCTGTGCAGAGGGAGCACTAGGCCCTGAGAAACAAGAGATTGGGCTGTTTTCCTGGTGGACACATTATTATTTTCTAAAGTGTGTACAGTTAACTCCTGTCTTTCCCCTAGGAAGGCCCCTCTGAGGAGGTGACATTGGCACCAAAACTGAATGGCAAGAAGGAGCCAGCTAGGTGAGGGGCTTTTCCGGGGAGAAGAAGAGACAGCTCAAAGGCCCTAAGGCTCAATCAGACTCGCAATCTGGGAGAAGAGAAGGAATATCTTGGGAGCTGAAGGGTAGTGGGGTGGGAGGAAGAGTGTATTAAAGTGATGTTTAAGAGAGAGAGAATGGGGTAAAGCAGGGACACTGTCTTTATTGTTCACTGCTTTAACTTCAAAGCCTCAAGTAGTGCCAGGCACACAGTAGCTGCTCAGTGAAGATATGTTGAATAAATGAACTGGAGGATGTACAACAGGTGTCACATGATCTCATTACTTTTAAAAAGACTCACTCCCACTGTTGTGCAGAGAATGGCCCGAAGCGAGGAGGGCAGAATGGACACAGGGAGGCCAGTTAGGAGTTGCTGCAGGAATCCAGGCAGAAGATGAAGATGGATGGAGCAGGGTGGTTGTTACAGAGGGGAGGAATCCTTGATAGATGCGGGGTGTAGGGTGGTTAGGGAAAGGAAGTATTCATGGATAATTCTTAGACTTTTGTCTTAGCCTCCTAGATGGGGGCAGTGCCTGACTGTCATGGCCAATATTGAGTTTGGGTGGATGTTTCAGGAGTTCCACGTAGAGAAGTATGGAGGGCTGAGGACTGGGCTCTGGGCGCTGTGACTTTAAAAGGTGAGTGTGGAAGAGGCTGTGAAGGGGACCACACAGGAGGGGCTGCGAGTTCAGAGGACACGCAGATGAGTGTAGTGTGGAAAAGCCAAGTGGGGACGGTTTGAAGTAGGAGGGAGTGGTTGTTGGTTGTGTCGCCACTGTGAATGGTTGACAGGATGAGAAGAAGGGATGACCAGACCTAGCAACATGGCAGCTATCGGTCATCATGGGTGAAGTGGTGGGGATGGAACCTGACTGCAGGCGGTCACACAGAGAACAGAGGTGAAGAGGTGGAAAGAACAACTCTAAAACCCTCTTCTGAGAACTTCTGCTGTGTGGGAGAACAGAGAAATTGGGCTGGAGACGTGAGACGAAGGGAGTGTTTTCTTCTGTGTGTTTTGTTTTGTTTTAAAAGATGAGGGAAATTACAGCACGCTTAGCTAGATGAGCCTGCTAGGAGAGAGAAACTGCTAACACAAGAGAGAGAAGTACAAATTCCAAGAACAAAGATCTGGAGAAGGCAGAGGGGATGGGCCAAGGGGAGAAGGTGCTTTCAACAGGAGCCCAGACATTTAACCCACTGAAACCAGATGCAGGGCAGACAATGTGGGCACAAGCACAGGTGGGCTGGTAGATTTGATGGTACAAAGATGAGACAGTGTGAGTTTTTTCTAAGCTTTCAGTGGGGTGAAGGCAAGGGCATTGGATGAGTAAGGAGAGGGAAGGGGTTTTGGGGGTTTAGAAAGAGACAGCATGAAACAGTTGTTTAGAGAGTGGGAGAATAAAATTATAGGAACATATAGGATTACTGGGCTGGGTTAAGAGTCCATTCCATATGGGGCATGTGTTTTTTAGGTGGGATGAAATATGAGGTAGCTAACAGCAGAAGACAAGGTCAGGGTTTGGAGCTCAGTGTTAGGAACACAGGAGAGGAGATGAAGTGAGAAGGTTACTGGAGGTGAGGAGGTTAAGGAACTGAGGGGGAGTATAGTGGGAAAAGTCACAGGATCAGTCTGAAGTCCTGGCTACTAGTCCAGGTGCTACAAACCTTGGGCAGTGTATTTTTTCTTTCTGTATCTCTCTTTCTTAATTTAAGAAATAATATTTACCTTAATCAGCACATCATTTGGTTTTTATTATGTACTGTGAATTTAATCACATGTCTATGTCATTGTTCACATGAATGGCAGTGTCAGGAGGGACAGAAGGTGGAGCTCACGCACCCCAGGAGCAGACAGACATACAGGAAAGTATACTTAGGAGAGAGCAAGGGGAAACTGGAATGCCACATTCCAAGAGAATGGAAGACACCAGCTTGGGGAAGCAGAGAAACATCTCAGCTGCTTTTCCTGTCATTCTCCCTTACCTATTTGCTGCCGTGTAGAGGAAGGTGAGAGAGGCAGCGAGTGGGCCTGAGAAGGCGTCTTCACTGAGCTGGTGGTTGCTGTTCCTGAGCTGCAGAAGGCTGTCTGGATGACTTCAATTGCTTCCGTGTAACCCATCTGTCTCAGGGCCTCTACCAGTTCCTTTACTGTCCCTCCAGAGACCTGAAAGAAAAAAATGAAGAGTATGAACTGTGCTCAAACCCCTGTGTACGGAGCAACAAAGGGGCAGACGGAACACCGGCACCATATCCCTTCCGGTCTTCCATGCTGTCTCCTCTACTCAGAGCCAGGTGGTACTGGAAAGGTCAGAGAAGAATGACAAAGAAAATACAGTCCTCAAATCAAGTTTCCTGTTTTAGCTCAAAGACCACTCAGGAAATCACAGAGAAGTGGTTTATAGTGAGCAGAGAGAGAGAGAGAGAAATTGCTGAGGCTGTGAAACTCCACCTCGAGTGAAGTCTAGGCAGTATCCCTGTGTAAGCTGAAGCTCTGAAGACTGCTGAGAAACAAAAGCTAACAATGACATTTTCAGCAGAAAATAATGTTACCCCATGTTCTTCTCTACCTTTTATTTTTAGAAATGAAAGCATCACCAGGTAATGGCTCTGCTAGAAGCCACTTCACAGAAAGATGATTACATGTCCTGACACACAGTCAAGACCAGGGCCAGACTACCCAATAAGCAAGGTAAGCACAGACTTATTTGTGCTTACTTACTAATCTGTAGTATACATAAGAAACACCTGCAGATTTTGTTAAAATGTAGATTTGGATTCAGTAGATCTGGGGTGGAAATGGAAATTCTCAGCAGGGTTCGATCTGGAAAGAACTTGATAGAAGCCCTGATATAAGCATGTGGGTTGTAGTCTATCCTGTTTGTTCACAGGGATCAAAGTTCTGTGACAATCTTGACCCTCCAAGTAGTATTTTCTCAGGGACCCTGGGAAGATCTCCAAGTACAGGAAAACAGCCTTTTCAGGAAGGTAGGCTTCCATCCTGGCTGGGTCATCCTCCCACGCCTTAGGCAAAGACTGACTTTCTTCTTTAGAGTTAAAGGAGACGGAAGAGGTTACGGCCCAGCCGGTGATATTAACAGAGTAAAGTCAAATGAAAACAGCCAAATATGTCAGGTGATGTGTTACCTCGTAGTTGTCCATAAGAGTTTTAGAAGGAGCAGGACTCAGTCGGAAAGCATTATTAAGTATACCCAGACCTAATTTCTGTGCCAGAGTGGCCCAGTTTTTGTCTGGATCAGGGATTTCTAGCAACTTGTAGAGCTGCAACTTTGCATCTTCAGCCAGCTGTTTCATGTCTCCTGAAGGAAATGAAGAACACGTCTGTTGTAACCTACCAGAGACACTCTGAATGGACTGATCGTTGCTACACTGCTCTCCCTCCACCTCACTGTGGATGCAATCAAGCAACTTTACTTGACTGTCAGCAGAAGCCCAGCTGAGTAACATCAGTATATATTTTTAGTAGATTAAAACTGGATATTCTCCTTTGTATACCTCCAGGATCTTTTGATTCTGAAATAAGCAACTGTCTGTGCCTTTCACAGTAAACCCTGGATAATGCCAGTTCCCTGTTCCTGTGTACCACTGAGTCTATTCCAACCCTTATGACAGAGCAGAACTGCCCTATAGGGTTTCCTAGGCTGTAATCTTTATGGAAGCAGACTGCCAAGGCTTTTCTCCCACAGAGCCGCTGGGTGGGTTTGAACTGCCGACCTTCCGGTCCGCAGGGGAGTGCTTAACCATTGTGCCACCAAGGCTCCTTGCTGGTTCCTACTCCCTCCTTAAACGACAGTGTGGAGACAATACTGGTTAAGAGAACTGTGGTTCTATCACAACCTACCTTGTGCCAGTAAATCATCAGATGTTAACTCTGACTCATATGGTTTCCCATTTAATATGTCAAAAACCTGTTGGGAAGAAAAACGTGGGACAATGTTACACATTAATGGGACCACTAGGGTAATCTGTTTCTTTGTGGTAAATCACTCAGCTTGTCTTTCTTAGGAGACCTAGTACCTCAAAGATGGAGGAATGGAAAAGAGGAGTCAGTACCATCACCAGATATACGTGTGCCTTTTGGGGGAAGAATAGCCTTGGGATTCTGGGGCAGGGAGGTTGTGCTTTACAGGAACTGCCTGAGGAGGGCAGGGGTACCAAACCTAACCTCATGGAGAGGACTTGCCAACCTCACAGAGAGTCAGAGCCAAGACTTCTGAGGTACAAAGGCAGCCCAGGCCACCAAGTCAGCCATCTCTTGGTGAGAGAGTCCGGTTAGTGATGTCTCCCTGAGAGCTAGGGCTATGGCTGAGCTTACTCAAAGCTGAAACTGTGTTCCCTTGCTGGCCCGTCTTCCCTAGTAAGTGGTTTATGAGAATGAATGTTATAAACTTGCTCACACTAAGGTGTATAAATGCTTACAAGGTTTGGTATTAACCTTCTAGCATAACTTACATTTTAACTGAGGGAACAGCATAATCCTAAATTAAAAAAAAAATCTCTAAGTGAGGAATTTTAGGCAAATCTATGAGGGCCTTTCTGGTATTTTCTGTATTCACCTTGTTGTTGGGTGACCTGGGTAAGGACAAGACGGGGTCACTGAAGTGGGTTATTGTTCTATGTTCTGTGGTGAGACCTTCTAGGCAAATGAGGTGCTAAAAAAGGGGAACCACGTGGTTCCTCTGCCAGGGTCACTCAGCTCAACAACAAAGGGCTGCAAGGATGTGAGCAGCACTTGGCACTACAGAATTTGGTTTTGTTTTGCTGGACATCCATATGCTGCCAACCTCCTCCCTCTGGCTCTTCTCCCTGGGCCAGGAAGATCTAGTAACTGTTTTTACCTTCAGATCTCAGTCACTGGAATTTTGAGAAAGGCTTTAAATCTAGTTATTCTGTTTATATTTACTGACACACTCAGAGGAACTCCCAGTTTCTTTTTACGTTCAGAAATCACCTAGCTAAATTCTGAGCAAACCATCACATTTCCCCTAGCTTCAGAAATTGAGGTGGTAACAATTCTGGTGTGAGTTCAGGATGGGAGACTCTTCTGTGAATTTTGTGTTTTCTCTTTTCTAACCCTCTCTCAAACCTTAACTCTGATCTGATAAGGCATCCACTTTGACACCCAGAACTCAGTTGACCTAGATCTTTCAAGGATAGGTTTTTCAAGATGAATATGGCTCTTGACAATCAGACTTTCTTAAAAATAAAAGTCATGTTCTTTGTGGAATAAAGAACCAGAAAGACTATTCTTACTTTCCTGAACCTTTAGCTACCTCAGGAGCAGCCATCACACAGACCGAAGCGCCACTCACCTGCCAGTTGGCAGCCATATCTAAAGGTGTGGTTCCAGGCACGACCCCTTCGTCCTCTCCATCCCTTTCCCAAGAGTCATCCAGGTCATAGAGAGGCTCAAAGTTCTCCACCAGTGGATCTGCTCCTGAGAAGTCAAGATACACAGCATTAGGTATACCCAGAGCTTGTCAACTTCAAGCCACCAGTAGGGGTCAGAATTCCAAGGGCAAACCACAATAGCTGCTAGAGGCAATTACCTGGATAATTTTTAATAAATAAAACACGTTTCTAATGAAACATCCAGAAAACTTCTTTTAAATTCTAATTTATTTGGACTATAAAGATGTTTTATGATACCCTAGATAACCAAGGACACCATCAAAAACAAAAGACTGAAGAATATGAATTTCACATTTAGCTCTCTAGGATTTTTTCCATCTTTCATCTGGGGGCTAATGGACAGCAGTTTATAGGGACTAGGCACACCCTCAAGATTAAGGACCTAAATGTTCAACTTTATGCACAGAAACACACATTTCTCAGCCTCTTCTCTCAGTCACTCCAAAGAGCAAAGATGCTTGCTGTCTACAAACAACATGTTCAGTTTTACTTCTTGGTACAACACTAATCCTTAAACAAAAAACCACCAAAAAAAGCAAAACAAAACAAAAACCAAAAAGTTTGTTAGGATGTGTAGTTTTTGAAAAATTGAGGCTGCTGGCTCTTGGGAAATCTAGTCTGTTTTTGTGTCCAGCTAGAAAACATCTGAAGTACTCAGGGTTGGATTACCCAATAAGCAAGGTACGCACGGGCCCAACTGTGCCTTCCCGCCAATGTGCAGTGCATAATGTCACCTGTACCCCGCCACATCAAAGATGTGGTAAAGCCCATGTGAAATTGCTCACCACAGATTAGCAAGCAAATACAATTAAGCACGTGTGTAACCTTGCTCAGTCTAAGCCACCGTGCTTACTGGTTAATCCGCCCCTGAAAGTACCTCAAAGATTAGAGCTACAGTTACTTCTCAGAGGCTAAGAGACAATTTTAATGAGAGAATGTTTAGCTTGATATCTAGTGAACAGCAAGAAGTTCAGCACAGCCTTTTGGGAAGAGGAACTTTTCTCTAAGTGTAACCTGACCGTGAAAGCAATGGAGGAATCAAGTGAAAGGATTTACAGGACAGAAGACTGGAGGAGCTAAGCTACGTCTGTTCCTTGGGGATCTTCTCCATGAGTTTGAACACAGGACTAGGTTCTTCATCTGAGTTTCTCCATCTATATATTCGAGAAGCTATTCCTTGGGATTCTAAGAATTCAGGAGAAGGCATGTTTTGAAAGTTTTATAGCTTCTTGTCTGAAGGCATTTCTTAATTCTAATAAATGACTTCCAAAACTACTCATACACACTGCAATCAGAGTCTCTTGTTCAAGAAAATGTTCAATTTGACAAAAGAGAAAAGAAAAGGCTGCTGCTTATTTGGTATGATTTTACTTGTCAGAAAAATGTGATGCTCCTAAAGAAAAAGTTCCTACATCTTTCTGGACTGATTTTTAAAAAAAAAAAAACCGTTGTAAAGAAAAACCTGTAATACATTTGCCAGTTCAACATTTTTGAGGTGTACTATTTAGCGATATCAATTACATTCACCATGTTGTGCAACCATTGCTCATAACTGTTGCCAAATTTCCCATCACCATAAACAGAAACTTACTGCTTTTTAAACAGTGATTCCCCCTTTCACCCTCCCTCCTGCCCTGGTAACCACTAATAAACTTTGGTCTCTAAGTATTTGCTTACTGTTATTTCATATATTGTTATTTCACAGAAGTGAGATCATACAGTATTTGTCCTTTTGTGACTGACTTATTTTACTCAGCATACTGTCTTCAGGGCTCATTCATGTTGCAGCATGCATCAGGACATCGTTTCTCTTTACAGCTGAGTAATACTACTGGGCTGATTGTTTAAAAATAGTATTTTTTAACACATTGTTTTCTTAACGTCATGAAGCACTTATCTTCTAAACCATTTAAAAAATCCTCTAAAGCAAATCAAATACATTACGGCAGGCTTGAGATACTAATTTCATTAAACTTTTTTTTTTTTTGGTTCTAAATATGCCAAGCATTAGAGCTATAAGGATCAGCAGTAATATTTCTATATCCTTCACAAGGTTTTAATGAGGATTTTGTGGAATAGCAACTGCAAATTGGTGAGCATAACAGGGGAGAAAAACACATAGTAAAGAGAACAGAGTCTGGAAGTTCAGACTGGCCGGGTCTGATTCACAGCTGTGCCACTCACTCGGATTCTGGGACTGGGCCCCAGTCTCTTTAGTTTATCTCCTTGGCCATAAAATGGGAACAATGATACGATATTTATCTCCAAGGGTTATTGTGCAAATTAAATAAGACAGTGCATGTAAACTGTCTAGTACAGTGCCTAGTTCATAGTAAGGTCAATTCCTCCCTGCAAAAAACCCAAAAAAACCAAACCTATTGCCATCAAGTCGATTCTGACTCCCAGAGACCCTACAGGACAGAGCAGAACTGCCCCACAGGGTTTCCAAGGCTGTGATCTTTAGGGAAGCAGATTGCCACATCTGTCTCCTGTGGAGTGGCTGGTGGGTTCGAACTGCAACTTTTTGGTTGGCAGCCAAGTGCTCAGGTCAGTAAGTGCTAGCAATTTTTATTCTAGTGCCTTGAGCATAATAGTACTCAACACACAGCAAATTTGCTTTTTCCTATTATTTTAACTCCCAAGAGACCCTTCTTGTAAAAGGAAGTCTTTAAATTATTTCCTATACCAATAAACTTTTTCTTCTGGGGACTTCTGCCTTGATCTGAGACTGGTACTGCCCAGAATTCCCTCTATGAGGAATTAAATTCAACTTAAAGAAGAGCCCTCATCACTGGATTCAATCTAAACAACCAAACCCCAAAACAAACTGATGAATTAGGGAGTGAAAACGACTCTACTATCACAATGAAGCCTGGGATTACTAGTCCAAATAGTGCCTTCACGGCAGTTAAAATGTGATTTGCCATATAATTTACCCATGTCTTTCAGCAGCAGGTCTGTGGCTAAAGAAGAAGGTGACATGGCAACCCCACTCCTGGCATTAAGTGAGGTCTGCATTCCTGGTAACAACTTCCATCAAGGACTTCCAGGCTGCCTTACCTGCTGCTTTGAGAAGAGCTGCCAGCCTGGTGGACCCTCTCCCAGCTGCTATGTGCAAGGGTGTAGTTCCATCAAAGGTAGTACTGTCCACATGGGCATCACCCTAAAATCCAGCCCCGACAGAAAAGGGTTAGTGGAAGGTTCTTTTGCTCTTTCGTCCCCACCTCCCTCCATTTGCATGGCCCCTTGGGTCATATTACCAGCTCAGTTTCTGTTTTGGGCTGGGTCTGCTACTGAAGAAATCCCCAATTAGAGATGCCTGGGGGACAGTCCCTGAAGCTGCTACTCTGAAGCCTTGCAGAAATGTTAAATAAATAGAGCTGAGTGTAGGGAGAAAAGCTGTTACCGACATCATTCTTTGAAACTAAGCCAGTTGCAGTCGAGCGACTCTGACTCATGGTGACCCCGTATGTGTCAGAATAGAACTGTGCCCCGTAGGGTTTTCAGTGGCTGAGTTCTTGGAAGTATACTGCCAACCTTTCTGTTAGCAGTCAAGTGTCAACTGTTTGTACCACCCATTTTACTAAATATCCCTTGGGAATTTAATGCAAAGATAAGTAAGTGTCCTTCACCTCCAGAAGCAGGCAGCCAGCCAAGGAGATGTTGTCATGCTCCACAGCCAGGTGCAGTGCCGTGCGCCCAGACTTCTGCTCCTGAGCATCTATGTCTGCGCCGGCGGCCATCAGCAGCCGCAGACACGACATGCTGTTGCTCATCATGGCTATGTGAATGGCGTTCAAACCTACGGGCCAAGCACAGAGGCAGTCATGGGGTGGGAAGGCTGTTCACAAGATGGCCCTCAGTGAAGCTGAAGGAAATAGTTTATCCCACTTCTAGTGCTGAAAGCGTCTCTACTCAAGGTATTCTTTACAGGGACTGTAAGATCATTGCACTGCATTTCAATTTACTCCCACAGTCTCCCATTATGTCCTCAGGAGACAATGAAAGCAAACCAACATTCTCTGAATAAATGATGCTCCATATACTTACAGACCAGTATATGCTCAGGCCTTTTCTTTTTTGCTATTTCAAAGGTTTGTAAACATTATCTAAAAAATAACATCTACTCTTTTTCTATCTGTTCATGTGAGATTACCCAATGATTACAGAGAGCATAGAAAAGGGGCAAAAACCAATCATCTATACCTCCACCACCCAGGGGCCTCCGTTTTTTCCTTCTACTAACAAACTATTCCAAATCATCTTTAAAGGAATTAGCTATGGCGAGCAACAAAAATACCCACGAGAGACCATGGGCTCCAGGTGACTAAGGGAAGCACTTCTGGGTGCAAATCAAATAACATGCCTTTATCAAATACCTGGCAGTTATTTAGAAAGCTGATAGGGAAAGTTATACCACAACATGTGACTGTCTCTTACCTTCCCCGTTGGGCTGGTTGATAAGTAGTGCTGCCTTTTTGTGCTTGAGTAAGATACTGAGAATTTTATCATGTCCTTCTTTGGCAGCTAGGTGTAAAACAGAGTTACCCAAGCGGTCCAGAAGACTCAGGTCAGCCCCGGCCCTCAGCAAGTCCTCCACCACATCTTCTTGACTGGTGATTACTGCTAAGTGCAGGGGCGTCTGGGAAGAGTGGAGAAAGGGTAGGGAGATACATACTGGTCACTTATAACCCACCAGCCTGGTAGCTGTCCCTGCAATAGATAGAGTCATACTGCAGGGCCATTTCCCATTCTAAGGTTAACTCCTGCCCTTTGTAAATGAGTTATTCCCTTTTTCATATCATATACTGCTACGACTAGTAATATATCTATACACACACACACACATTTAATAAGTCAATAATCAGGATATTTTTATATTCACAACACTAAACAGATTTCTTGTTTTCATTATAGCCCATCGATTGTTGATAATTAACTTCTTTATTAATAAGTTTAGGTCCCTGGGTGGTGCAAACAGCTTGCACCTGTCTACTAACCTAAAGGTTGGTGGTTCGAATCTACCTGGGTGCACTGTGGAAGAAAGGCCTATAAGGATTACAGCCAAGAAAACCCTATGGAGCAGTTCTACTCTGTATCACATGAGGTTGCCCTGAGTTGGAACTGACTGACTCAACGGCAATGGATTTGAGTTTTTCTTTTTTTTTTCTTTAATTAATAATTTTAGTTTTCTTGAATCTCTAGTAGGCACCTATCTTTAGCCGATAATTCCATATGTTAACGTAGCAAATCAAGGCTACAGGTCTTTTTTTACTGAAGAAATTTAAATGAATTATCCAATAGAAACCAATGAATAAAGGTGCTGTCATTCTCTATCAACATGGAAAAATGAATTTGCTAAGTTAAAAAATATTGTTCTACTGACTGATTCATGAGACTGATCCATACAGCTCTGTTACCCTCACTCTGTAAAAAGTGTTAAGAGGATTCTAAATATCATAACCGGGAAAACACAGCACGCTCACTAAGAGGACTCAGATGAGCTGAAAAGCTGAGTTGCTGATGCTTAATAGGTGCCTGAAGTCCATCTGCCTACTCTGTTACAAAGCAGTACACCTCAGGGAATGCAAATGAGATGTTTTGCAAATTATGTTTCCAAGGTTGAGCAAGACAAACACAATCATGAAATTATCTTTTCAAGAATGGGGTTACTGAGAGCAGCAATAGGTTTTTACACAAATAAACGTGCTTTCCAGGAGTCTGTGAAATCCAGCCTGTCTGTGACCATGGGCCTAAACTTTCCCTTTCAGTGAGCAGTTACTGGCAGGAGGGTGACCATAGCACACGTGAACTGGCAGGATGAGAGAGGCCTGGGCTAAGTCTCAATCACAGCAATTATTTAATATAGCAGGAACGAGAGAAGATTTTTTTGGGGGGAGGGGGTGGGGGTAAATTATCATTCTCCCTTATTACTTTCATCTTCTAGGCCAATCATAGTGACCCTATAGGACAGAGTACAACTGCCCCATGGGGTTTCCAAGGAACAGCTGGTGGATTTTAACTGGCGACCTTTTGGTTAGCAGCCAAGCTCTTAACCGCTGCACCACCAGGGCTCCCTAGGACAATAACCCCTGCTTGAATGGAGCACTGTCCTCAATACTTCAGATGTGATAGCTCTCTGCTCTCAAAAAAATAAATGAATAAATAAATAGAGGCTGTGTTTACAAATCCAGGTTTTCTGAAATGCTATTTGACGAGCATATGTTGGAGGATATGGGAAAAGGAATGAGAGAATGCAATTGGAAAAAAAGATCAGAAGTTGAGGTATTATAAGGGAGAAATCAGGAATTATCTATAGTTTTAATATACATATACATATATATATTTTTTCATATCATACTAATTCTCCTACCATGGACAACAGAGGGAGTTTTAAAGTTTTTCTCTCACGATCCCACAAAAGGTTTTCTATATTTCATGTTTCTAGATTTGAAACCTCAAGATTGTGTCTTAAACAGTTACACAAGTAGGGATACAGCGATTCTCATGCTATGCCAGTGGGTGTGTAGACTTATGTAGCCACTTTGGAAAGCCAAGTGAGATACTCTTATGGGTCAGCTTGGCAAGGTTCTTGTACCCAGTTAGTTAATCAAACACTAATCTAGGTGTTGCTATGTTTATGCAAATGTGTAGATGCAAATGCATTTAGCATCTACAAACGTGAGTGGGCCTCATCCAATTAGCTGAAGACTTTAAAATCTCTTAAGGCCTTAATGGCAACAACTGCAGTTTCCCAGAGAAATTCTGCCTCAAAACTGGAAGAGTAATTCTTGGTGAGTTTCCAGCCTGCCAGCCTGCCCTAAAGATTTAGATTCAAGAGTGCAACATCAACTCCTGCCTCAGTTACGATTGATGAGCCTGCCCAATAGATTCTGGACTTGCCAGGCCCCATTATCACATGAGCCAATTCCTTAAAATAAACCTCTTAATATATACTATTTGTTCTGTGTCTCTGGAGAATCCTGACGGACACACCAAATATACAAGTGCCCCAGCAACCCATCTCATGTATATCTGAGTGAAATTCTGACACAAATCCTCAGGGAGACATGGTGAGGATATTCGTTGCAATAATGTTTATGGAGGTAAGAAGCTAGAAGCAGCTTAAGTGTCCACTAGTGTGGAATAACTCATTGCCGTCGAATCGATTCCAACTCATAGCGACCCTATAGGACAGAGTAGGACTGCCCCACAGGGTTTCCAAGGAGCGGCAAACTCCGGTGGTGTAGTGGTTAAGTGCTATGGTACTAACCAAAAGGTGAGCAGTTCGAATCCACCAGGCGCTCCTTGGAAACCCTACGGGGACAGTTCTACTCTGTCCTATAGGATTGCTATGAGTTGGAATCCACTCAACGGCAACAAGTTTGGCTTTTTTGAAACCCTGGTGGTGTAGTTGTTAAGAGCTATGGCTGCTAACCAAAAGGTTGCAGTTTGAATCCATCAGGCACTCCTTGCAAACTCTGTGGGGCGGTTCTACTCTGTCTCATAGAGTTGCTATGAGTCGGAATTGACTTGACGGCAACGGGAGTGTGGAATGGTTAAGTTATATAAGATGCCCATATGGGACTGAACTAGCTGTACATTCAGCAGCATGGACAGGTCCTATAAATAGTGAGTGCAGAAACATAGTGATGTTCGCACAACAGCATTTATGTATTTTAAAAATACATGCACGTGGACTCACACACACACACACACACATAAGTGTGAATATAAAACTGGTGAAATGTGAACAAGATCTCACATTGTACCAGCAGTGATTGTACCAATGTCCATTTCCCGGTTTTGATATTGTACTACAGTTATAAAAGATGTTACCATTGGGGGAAGCTGGATGAAGGATACATGGAACCTTTCTGTACATGTTTTTGTAATCTTCTTTGAACCCATAATTATATAAAAATTTAAAAGGTTCATTCAGAGCAGGAGCAGTATGTATGTGGATAGTTTGTGAAAGTATACGAAAATATCTATATATTTAAAGTGCTTAAGTTAAAGTGTTTAATAAATATATGTAGCCAATACTTGAAAAAATACCCACAAGCACAATGGTTACATTTGGGGATGTGGCCAAGGGACTTTCATGTTGTCAGGGAGTTGAACTTTGACTTTTCAATGTATATCCTTCTGCATCAGTCTTAAAACTATGAATATATATTTATAAATTTAAAACATTAAGAAAAAAATAGAAAAATAACACATGCACCAAAACAAAACAAAACAAAAACAAAGCCACCAAGGGTTTAGAGGAATACATGCAAATAAAACAGTGCATGTCAAACACAACAGAATGGTTGTCTACGTTGGGGTGTGGGGGTGGGTGGGAGGAGAAACAGGAGAAGAGAATAAAGGGGAAAAAATACATTTTAAAAATACTTTCAGAAAAATTTTAACTCTGTGTACTTGGATTTGTGTGTGTATTTATGCGTGTGTGTCTAAAGGGCTGTTGGTGGGTGGGGACAGAGTTGACCATGACAGGTGGTCACAGAAATGTAATGAGTAGTGAAAGGTATTTTGGGAGAGTGTTTTAAGATAACTGGCAAGTAATGTCACATTATTTACAGAACTATATAAATTCCCAACTAGAATAGTCAACAGAGAACTTTTATAAGAGACAAACGAGAGTTAAAATCTTAGCTTGTTGCAATTCTCAAGTCAAAGTTGCCATTGCGTGTGTGTTTGAGACCTAAAGGGAAACCAGAACCTTGCCCATTAACTAGACTGGTAATAAGTGGGAACAAAAATGGACTTATACTCTCCTGAGAGCCACGAACTGAGAAATGGCAGAAGTGTCCATGGTGGTGGTTTCAGGTTTTTTGTCTCTAACGTACTGGAGAGTTTCAATATATGTAACCAAGTGATATAGTAAGGAGTTTAGCATATAATAAATCACAACAACTAATCCTGTTGTGCTGTGTCCTTTGGAGATCCTATTTATAAACAGAAAAACAAGTAATTCCTTGACTCTGACCTTCAGGAAATGAAGTTAAGCAGTCTTTGACTGGAGAATTTCTTTTTTTTTTTTAATTGTACTTCAGGTGAAGGCTTACAGAACAAATAGTTTCTCATAGAACAGTAGTACACATATTGTTTTATGACATTGGTTAACA